TTTAAATACTTTTAAAAATTGCACTCAAGCTGGGCGGTGGTAGCACACACCTTTAACCCCAGCACTTGGGAGGCAGAGGCAGGCAGATCTTTTTGAGTTCAAGGCCATCCTGGTCTACAAATCGAGTTTCAGGACATATAGGATGATTACACAGAGAAGTCCTGTCTCGAAAAATCAAAATAAAATTATATTCATGCTAGGCCTGGTGGATTCTGGAGGACAAGTACAGCTCTGCCCCATATCTCTAGACCTGGGGTGGCTGGAAGAATTTCACCCATGAGCCCATCCTGCCAGGCAGTCAGGCACCATTATGGCGAGTGAGTGCAGGGTGGCAAAATGGGAGAGAGAGACAGAGAGAAATAGAGAGACAGAGACACAGAGACAGAGAATGATTTATGTGCTGGGGAGAGAGGCAGATTTGAAGAGATGAGGGAGGTGAGGAACAGGTTGAGGTAGATGCTCTGTTTATCAACCAGGGTCTGTGTTGATGTCAGTGGCTCCTGTTACCACCCAGGGCCCTGTGGACACCTGGTGTCTGGGCCACTAACTATGACCAAATTGATGTCTAAGGGATGTGCCCCCATGGGGGCCATGCCAATCCAGGATTACTGTGCTGCCACCCCAGACCATGGTGATGTCCAGCCCAGACTGCTGCCAGGGGCCACGTCTGGGTCCGTAGCTCTTCTGTGGCTGGGCTCTGAGTTGTCATCATGGCTCCTGTTACCACTGAGGGCCATGCAGAGACCAGTGGTCCAGGCCAACACCTGAGACCATATTTGTCTTAGAGGGCCAAGCTGCCACCAGGGCCATACAAACCCGGGTGGCCCATACTGCCACCTGGGGCCATGGTGTCATCTGGTCCCAAACTGTGCCTGTAGGTCATGTCTAGGTCTGTGTCAAAGTCTGTGGCTCCTGTTTCCATCAAATGTAGCAGGAATCTTAGAAGGTCTTATCAAACCTGTGGCCAGTTATTGGAGTGAATGCTGGTAGATCAGATGCAGAACAAGCCACAGTTATCCTCACCTTGCCAATTCCTCAGCTGGTCCTGTTTCCTCAGACTGGAAGCCTCTGAGTCCAGAATGAATCTCAGCTGAACTGTGCTGCTCCAAAGCCTGAAAGCTTAACCAGCCAAATGCTTCTAGTTTCTGGTCCTCATGCCTTATATATCTTTCTGCTTTCTGCCTCACTCCCTGGGATTAAAGGCGTGAGTCACCATGCTTGGCTGTATCCTTGAACAGATGGATTTCTGCCTCTGGAATGCTAGGATTAAAGGTGTGTGCTACCACTGCCTATCCTTTATGTTTAATATTGTGGCTGCTCTGTCTCTGACCCCAGATAAGTTTATTAGGGTGCACAATATTTCGGGGAACATAATACCATCTCAATCAAAGGCTGAGTGGATTTCTGGGCTGCCACCTAGGGGCACGTTGGCATTTGGGAGCCATGCCACCACTTGGGCCATGCTGAGCTGGGCAATCTACAATGCCAACAAGGGCCACAATGACATCCTGGCTCAGGCTCTTGCCAAGGAACATGTCTGGGTCTGTGGTCCTATGACAGCCTGAGTCTGTGCTGATGATGTCTGTGGCCTGGGTTGCCACCAAAGGCCACACTGATGCCCAGTTTCTGGGCCTCCACCTATGGCCTTCTTGGTACCTGAGGGCTGTGCTGCTGCCAGACCCATAAAGACCTGAGTAACATGTGCTGCCACCTGGGGCCAGGGCATTGTACAGACCTGAGCTGCAGCTGGGGCCACGTCTGGGTCCGTGGTCCTGCTGCAGACAGGACCTGCGCTGATGGCCAAGGCTCCTGTCACCATTGAAGGCAGTACAGATGCCAGGGATCTGGGCCCACACCCAAAGCCATGTGGAGTTCAAGGGCCACACTGCCATTGGGTCCATGGCGAACTAAGTGACCTGCACTACAACCAGGACCTGGTGACATCTGAGCATGGGCTGCTACCAAGGACCTTGTCTAGGTCCATGGTCCAAGCACAGCTAGGATCTATATTGATGTCCATGGCCCAGTAATGCCATATATGGCCACTAAGGGCCACATGGACACCAGGGGCCTGGGCTGTCACCTAGGGCCAGGTTAGTGTCCGAGGGTTGAGCCTTTGCCAGGACCATGCTGATCTGAGTAGCCTGTGCTGACACCCAGGGACATGGTGTCATCCAGGCCTGGAATGCTGCTGGGGTCATGTCTGGGTCTGTGGCCCTGCTGCAGCCACAGTCCGTATTGATGTCCATGGCTACTGTTACCACTGAAAGCAGTGAGGATAGGGCTGCACAGAGTTGGTCCTGCCCCTCACTGTCTGCGGTACTAGGGAGAACTGGCCCTGCCCCTCATCAACTGTAGCACAGGGAAGAGTGGGCATGGCGTCTCACCAGGGCAGCACAGTAGTGCTGACCTTGTCGGTGTGGGTACAGGTGAGCCAGGCATGTAGGCATGAGAGCAGGAGAGCTGCCCCAGCCCCCTACCTACCTCCTATGCCATGGGATGGCAAGGGTAAGGGAAATATGTCTTCCCTCCAACTCCTTGCCACCTGCAACAGGTGGGAGAGCTTACCTCAGGGACATGAGAATGGAAGAGCTGGTCCTGCCCCTCACCAAATGCAGCAATCCAGAGAGGGCGCCCTGCACCTCGCCTGGGCAAAATGGTAGAGCTGGCCCTGGTGGTTTGAGTGCAGGTGAGCTGGACCAAGGGTGTGAGAGCCGGAGAAGTGGCCTTGCTCTTGCTCCTTGCTGCCTGCTGCATTGGGTGAACTAGCCAGAGCAGTCCTGGAGAGCTCCCTCCCCTTAGTGGTGATGATGAGGGAAAGCTGACAGGCTGACCACCCAGGTCCAGAACCAGGACAAGGTAGCCCACCCCAACACCCACCTCATCTGTTAACTTCTAGAGCATGTGAAGGAACCAGACCTGTAGATCCAAAACTGCAGGATCTCCATGACACAGGGCAACAACAGGATATCCAAGAGGAGTCCCAGTGAGGGCCCAGCATTGATGATGTAGCAGAAACCAGAGGCCCTGAACCAGACCAATAAACACTGGCCAGTAAAGATGTATGGACTAAAGGGTATACTGTGTGACTCACTGGACCACACTACAGCTTCCATGCTGAGATTTTATTTGTTTTGTTTGTTTGTTTTGCTTTTTGGTTTTTTTGGTTTTACTTTTAAATTTTGTTTTTTGGGGGCAGGTTGCAAAGGCATAGGGCTGAAGCGAGGGGACAGGGAGATGAATGGGATCAGGGTGCATGATGTGAAATCCACAAAGAATCAACACAAAGTTTCTAAAAATTACATTCAGTTATCTATTACATGTGTTGGGGTAGGCATGTGGAGGATCAGAAGATAATTTTGGAGAGCCAGTTCACTTCTTCCACCATATGAGTCCTGGGGACTGAACTCAGGTTGCTAGGCTTGGCAACAAACCCCATTACCTACTGAGCTTCTTGCCAACGCTGCTTTGTTCTTTAAGATTTGTTTTAAAAGATTTTTAGAGATGATTTATACTTGACTGTGCCATGATGAATCAGTACTGGTTTGCCTGAAATACAGATGAATAAAATACAGATCTAACCTTTAAAATCAGACAGTTCATGCTGAGGACTATGAGTTCTGAATGTGAAGGTTGCCATTGATGAGGACAGGAAATAAAAACTGGTCAGGCAGTTTTAGGCCAGGGCCCTGGCAAACATTCTTGTCTTTGTCCTTGGCCAGAAGCTATGGCCTTGCTTCTGTCCTGGGCAGAGGCCAGACATTCCAAATGTGTTTGGGGGCTCTGGCTTCTGGCCTGCTTTCTCCTCATGTGTCTTCCTTTGCATAGCTGCCTAGAAGCTGTACTTGATGTGACCCAATCTCCAGTGCAGACACCCATCCTTTTTGGTGAACAGCTTTGGAATTTGATCTCTCTGGGTTTTCAGAGATGGATTGCATATGTTATAATGTTAGGAGTGACACTATTAATCTTGGGACCTTGTATATGCAACTGCTCTCTTTATGTTACCTCCTCTTGTTTATAGTTGAGCTACACTCCCGTGGTTTGGCTGCACTCTTACTCTATCTGTACAGCTGTTTTCGATTCCACCTCCAAGGCCCAAACCTTCCTATGTCCTAGTTGGAGCCCATCTCCTTCAAAGTTGGGGCCTGAACTTAAAAAAATTTTTTTTCACTTGGAAATTTTTCATTTATTTGTCTGCTTAGAAATTTGCACCATCACAGCTGATGAAGTCACGACAGAATATTCCTTTGGCTTTTTGCCTTTTGCCTTTGCAGTTCCCATTTGCAGGCCTTCCTCATTCTGTTCTCATGTTCCTTTCACTGTTTTCCTGAGGTCTTTTTTTTTCTCTCATAAAGGTCATGTCATGCAGGTCTGTGTTTAAGCTCCTTTTTTGCATAAACAAAGGAAAACACATCATGCAAAAGCCAGTCATCTTGCCACCACCAAAATGATTTCTGAATCCAAATACAAAGATGACGTCTGATGTGGCTATTTTGGCTATCTTTTCCTAAATTTCTGTCTTTGGTACTGTTGCCTCCCCAGGGTGACAGACATCAGTGATCATTTGTTTCCTCTGAACTAGACAGTCATGAACTTCCTAGTCTGGATGCTTACTGTGTCATTCTTGATGTCAAGGGTCCTTAAAAACTGCCAAGGGGCCTCAATTCTTTTTTTTTTTTATAGAACATTTTTTTATTTCTTACTAAGACTTTCCCAGAGGACATAACTAAGCTCGTCACCATCCCTGCCCCCCACAAAGTGTTAGTGCACTCACTGCTGTAAAGCAGATACGAACAGTTTCCAGGACTGGAACCAACCTTAACTGGCAAAGAACACTTTCTCTCTGAATTATCATAAAAATGTTTAAGTTAAAAAAAAGAAAAGAAAGGAAAGAAACAAAGGGGCAATGGTGGTTTCAGAATGAAAAGATCACTCACGATCATGTCATAATTCAATCTTGGCTCTAGTTTAACAAAACAGAAACAGGATAACTACCATACAAAATGTTCACTACAGCATGCTGTATGCACCTGTTCCCACCCCCAGCCCCTAATGCTTCCAACTCAACTACTTCCCAGCCTTTTGGGCCTGTCGAGGAAGGAGCACATAGATCTTCTCTTTGATCCAGTCTTTGTTATAACGCTGGTACGTCTGTGTATCAGCTCGGTCAACAAGACAGCTGGGATCTGCCAGATCATCGATAAAGTCAAACAACTGACTGATATCGTATGTGATGGAGGGGCTGTTGGGATTCATTCTCTTCAGATGTTCTTCATACATTTTACAAACATCTTCCGTGCACTCATTCACAGACTCATAGCGTAAGTCCTGCCTTCTGACCTCTTGGTGGGGCTGTACCAGCAAAATGGTGTGAGACATCATGTCA